GGTCTCGCGCAGCAAACCTTACCGTGGGGCTGTTATGTATCAATTGTGCGAAGAAACTACCGCTTTGCGAGGGGATGTGCCCGAATTTGTGGGTTTTGGGGTAGTGAGGATCGACTTGAACACTTGTGAACAAGATAGAAAAAATTATCCCGGTAATGTAAATCCTCTCAACTGCATGACATTAGATCTCAGCTGCAAGTTTTGGCGATCATCTGGTGACCATCGATGGGAAATCGGGACACAGGGTCGGCCAGCTAATCCCCTTACTGGAGTTCGAGGTCCACCCGAAACTGGTTTGTCCGTAAAAAGTTCTTTTAATCAGCATAAACTGACCTGAATTTTTCAGCTCAAAAATTTCTGGTTGCCCCATTTCTGGATCGTAACGTCAGAAAATACGTTCTTGTATCTGACGTCATCGCTACTCCAGCAGCAGAACCTGTTTTCTTTTGCTTCTACGAATACTTTGCTACACAAGGACTATCTCTATCCGTTTGCACTGAAGACATGAACTGTTTCTACAAGAAAGTCTCCGTCGAATTGGGAGAATCAATAGCCGTAATTTCTTCATAAGTGTTGTTGTTTGGTGTAATCGCCAATGAAGGCACTTTTCTAGGAGAACAAGAAGTGGAATACGCGTTGTGCTAAGCTACCACAAGGACGTTACGAGGTATTCAATACATTTGCTTTAAAAGCATAGGAAATCTTATAAAAATGGAGACAATATCGCCCAAGTCCACTGGCAGCATAGCAATAATCCAGTATTAGCGCTTGAGTTCGTTCATCAGCAATTTTGCGTTTGGTTCCTTGTTCTGAAAAATCATAAATGCTGAGACTGGGGTAAATTAGGACTGCTTACCTCGCAAATTGATGGATATAGAGTACGCACATATTTTCAGATTAGTTTTGAAATACTAATATAAGAATGTACTGTGTAACGGCTTCATAATTTTTACGGCTTTGCAGAAAGTCGTATTTTTCTTAGTTTATGAAGAAGCCTAGGCGTACCCCTAGAGAGCAACAAGCTTTGAGAGATAGCTTCGTCATTCGCAGGAAGTTTAATCCAAATGATTTTAGAAGCCAAAATTTTGAGCTATCTATTTAAGCTAAAATTCGCACCTCCAAAAAAAACCCTGCTACCTTCCCTGCTTGC